AATCGAAAATAAAAACAATGTTTAGTCAAACAAACCAGAATTAGCATTTTGTCCAAAATAAAACAAGAGTTAAAATAAAAAGAACAGTCGGCGCCAGCGGTGTAGTGGTTAGTAAGTCGACACATGCATTCCAGTGCTCACAGCGACCTGAGTTTGATTCTGCCTCGCGGTCCTATGCCGATACTTCCCCTCTCTCTGCTCCCCATGCTTTCCTGTCAATTCTCTCTACTTTCATATCCAAATAAAAGTGAAAACCTTGAAAAAATAACTATAAAAAAATTTTAAACAAATAAATAAAAAGAACATAGATTTAAATACATACGAGCAATATCACTCGAGTAGCAGTGTGATGTGGCTGTATATCAGGCACTGGTGGGAGGCGTGCGTTGGCTCGAGGTTGCAGGCTGAGTGCCTTAGTGTGCCACCAGTGACAATATACAGCCACATCGCGCTGCTACGAGTGTGATATTGCGTTTATACAACAGTTCGACAGAATGAAAAAAGAAAATCAAACACGAAGAGTCTCAAAATCCGTTTTGTACGAGTAACTACTTTCTTCTGCCTTTCATTCACATCTACAGCTGAACATCAGTGCAGTGAAAACCGCTCCTCATTTACAAACGTCTCTTTAGAGCTAGTGTTTGAATGATTCTCTAGCATGATGAACTATTCTTAATAAACTGCATAGTTACATTCTAAACTACATTCTCGCCTAAAGACCTCAAAAGTAGATTATGTTGTCCAACAGCTGCAATGTTTGTCAAACTGTAGTCAACTGCTTGCCAGTCGTGTGGGTGGAGTAATACACAAGAGTGAAACGGCTGTACGACTGCCAATATTACTTTAATATCTCACGGCTATCAGTCAATCAGATTCGAGAATCAGACAGAACTATTCTTTAAATATATATATATATATATATATATATATATATATATATATATATATATATATATATATATGTATATGTATATTTGTTATACTTTTTTATATTTATTATTTTATCTTTTTCTTTTCAGTTTATAAAATTTATAGCAAAATATACAGCTTGAAAATTGAATTAACATTTTATTTATTTTCATAAGTATATTTACTACAAACCAATTCTATCATCTGTATTATAAAATTAAAATAATACTAAACGAATAAATAAAACTAAACGTTGTTATTGCCTAATTTGAAAATAAATAAAAAGTAATTTAAACTAATCCTATTAATTATCAAAAAAAATTATCAATACAATTAACAAATTAACTATAAAAGTTAAAAAATAAATAATTCATACAAATATAATAATAATGTATTTATATAATATTAATATAATAATGAATATAATAACGCACACTTACTAACCAGATCACCAGTTCACGCTGTTAAAAAGTCAACCGAGGTCCGGCCAAGCGTGAACTCATTCAAATGCTGCCATTATTCCTGTTTGCACCCCAGACAGACACACACACACACTAATGAAGTTAACTCTGATCCCATGAAGACCTTTCCTCCTCTTTAGTGCCACTGATTCAATAATACCCCTTTTTGACTTTCCAATCACCCTGACTGCATTTCATCAACAAATCCCGAGTGCTGACACATACACACACACACACACACAGGTGCTACGGCACGGCTGCTAAACTACATTGGGCACGGTTTCTTTGTCCGGGCATCATTTAATTGATAAATGAGTGAGACGAGCATTGTGTGAGCAGCTGACAGTGGCTTTTTGTAGTGTGTTTGAGGTGTACACAGGGACATCTGCCTTCAGTCTGGCTTCAGAGAGGGGCATTATGGGAAGGTTAGCCGGGGCAAGGCTGAGTGAGCAGTCACAATGATGAATTCAGTAACACCAAGAGTAACGTTTGCATTCATTTGAATTGATACAGCTGCTGTGACAGATTTAACATGGCTGAGCGTTGGCCACTTTATGGCAAAACCCTGCGGGTGAACAGGGTAAACAAACAAATTGTTAGTACCATATTTACCCAGTTGACTGATTAAATTGCTTTGTTAAATGGACAGTTTGGTGAAGGTTTGAAAACACATGAGAGAGTGTAAATGGTGAGTTCATTTTCATTTTTAGGTGAACTATTCCTTAAAAATCTGTGATGATTTTAAGGTGGCCGAGGGAACCACAAGTTACTGCAAGGATCGCTCCACTTTTTTTTGGAATAGACTCATTTTAACAAGTCATCTAGAGTTAAACAGGTGGGTTTTAGCATTTTTTGCATCCATTTGGTCGAACTCTGGGTCTGGCAGGAGCACTTTTACCTTAGCTTAGCATAAATCATTGAATCAGATTATACCATCTCACTCAGAAATGTTTCAATAATTTTCCTAAATTTTTAGTTGCCCCGACACATTTTTCTTTAGACGGTGGAATTTGCAGCACTTCTGTATTTGCATTTGTTGTGAAAATTTGTATGCCTTATCAAAATAATGACAATTTTTCAGTTTGTTAGTGTCCTTCTATTTGCAAGTGTTTTTGTAAACTTGTAATGCATTTGCTCCAAACCCTTTTGTAAGAGGAACTACTTTCATCTGCCATTCATTAGCTCTCTCAGCAACCAAACAATATGCAGTAGTAGTATTTCTAGTACTTCTCACATATTCTATTTATTTATTTATTTATTTTTATTGTATTTATCTATCTTTTATTTAATTATTCATTATATTTTATTTATTTATTTGTTTGTTCATTTATTTATCTTTAATTTATTTATTTATCTTTTATTTATTTATTTATTTATTTATCTTTTATTGATTTAATTTATTTACCTACTATTTTTTTATTTATTATTTATTTTCCTTTTATTTATTTATTATGTATTTATCTTTTATTTATTTAATTATTAGTATCTTTTTATTTATTTATTTTTTTTATTTATTTATGTATTAAAATTTATTTATGTATTTAATCAATTATTTTGTTATTTTTATAAAATTTTTTGTTTATTTAATTATTTATTTATTTAATTATTCATTCATTCATTCATTCATTCATTCATTTATTCATTCATATAGGGAACATAGGAATCCATTTTCATCAGTCCTTAATACAAAAAACTTATTTACACATTTCTTTGCAACATAAAATGCTTTTTGAAAAAAAAAAAAAAATGTGTGTGTGATATGAATGAAACAGTGCAGTATAGTGTATGTAAGAGCTGCTGAAGTGGGCATTTATGGTTCCAAGCAGGAGATAAAAAAAAAACTGAAATAACATTTATTGTAATTGAAATCTACAGAGATGCATTAATAAAGCGCAACAAAACTAAACTTAAAGTTTTTAATGTTTGCTTTACATTAGACTGAAAAATACGTTATGAAAAGCCATAAAGGTCATCATTTCTAAACTGACATGAACAGTGTTTGCCTGCAATATTTCACCATAATAGTCATCTGTGTCACAAAAATGTTCCTATGGGGCTGCTACAGTGATGTCTTATGGGTGGTCCCTAAGAATTCTTAACTCTGAAAATAAAACTCTGGTCATCATTTGTTCACCCTTGTGTTGTTCCAAAACACAAAACCAAACCACACAAACATAAACATGAAGGCAAATCATCACAGCTTTATGGGCTGCTGCTAATGCAACCACATATGAACACACATTGAACACATTCGCCATATGACTTTGTACTACACACAAACACATTAAAACCACCACACGCGCACTCACACACACTTCTGCTGATGTGCAAATGCAGATGTTTTCTTTATTCGGTCGGTCTGTGGTCATTGGGAATAAGAGACTTGTGCATGTGGGGAACAGAGTATTCTTTAACCCTGAGAGGCTTCAGGGATTCAGACTGAACCCACAAATACACCTCACTCACCTACTGGTGTTTTTACTGCTCTTTTTATCTTTCCCTGACCCAAATCAAGTTTCAGTGTAACTTATGAAATTTTATATTAGCTTTTTTTTATGAACTTAAAGTATTAATTAATTATTAATTATTTAAAATAAATAAAAATGTTTAAATTGCAATTTTAAAATGCAACCATTTCACAGTGACCAAAATAAAGACTTTATTAGTACTGCTTCGTGTAAATAAAATAACATATTTTAAATAAGTTTTGGTTATTTTACTATTACTTTGGTTATATTATTAATTTTAAAAGAATTAACAATTTCACAGTGACAAAAATGAATGGTTTATTAATACTGATTTGTGAAAATTAAATTTAAGATAAACTATTATACCAAATAAAAAATATATTATATTTTGATTTAATATAGCTCTATTAATTTTATACCATTTATTATTATTTATTATTAATTTGATACAAATTCAATATCATAACATGATTTTAAATAAAGATGCATAAATTAACAATTTTATTTAGATTGAAGAAAATATTTTGACTCGAATGTGTCTACTTAAAAAATTATTCAAATTTTTATGATAAAATAAATAAATAAATGTTGAATAAATAAATGTTTTTAAATACAGTTGTAAATCTATTTAAATATTTTTAATTAAATTAAAATTTAATTAAATAAAATATAGTGCTATTAAACTTTATACAATTTAATATTATTTATTATTAATTTTTAAAATGTCTAATTAAAAATATGAAAAAAAATTTAAATTATCAAATAAATATAACAAATAAATAAATGTTTTTAAAATCAGTGGTCAATCTATTTAAATATAATAAATTATAGAACTTACAAACCTGAATAGCTTGCTTGGTTAGGGACTTGTGGAGTTGCGCATTAATGGATTTGCTCTTCAGTGTTTGGACTTTCAGCAGTGAAAATTAAATCACACTCAACTGAATTTCAACTCTAAAAACAGGACTGACACGGTTTCAATTTACCAGAACTCATTTGTTAGGTTGCTTTGACACAATCTACATTGTATATGCACTATAGAAATAAAAATGAATTGAATTTAAAAACCATTATTCCATGATGCATCTTGTCCTACATATCCTTTGTGATTTTCTCTTAGACTCATGTGAACATATGAATTCCAGTACTAGCATGAACGTACTTGATTTGAGGGCAGAAGGAGTGACCTCTATCTCACTGCTCAGGTACGGATGCAGGATGTTGAGTTCGGGTTCAGAGTGGTCCGGACTGGAGCGACCGGATGCAAAACTGCCCCCGGGACTCACTAGCGCCCTCTGCTGGAGCTCCAGTTTTTCAAACACTGCTGTCAGCTGAGGGCAGATTAAAAACAAACACAAATCACTTTAGAATACATCACAAACTTCAGCAACTAACAAACAAACAAGCAAAGTCTACAGCTGGAAAATGAAATGAAGATGTTCAAGTGTTTAAAATATTATGATTAAAATTACAGTTATGAAAAAATTACAATTTGACAGAGACCAAAATGTAAAATTACTTAGTACTGCTTCGTGTAAAATTAAATTGAATTAAATTAAATTAAAGAAAAAAAGAACAAAAAAGGAAAAGATAAATAAAAATAACAAAAGAAAAGGCATAAGAAAAGAAAACAAGAAAAATAAAAAATATATAAGATAAAGAAAAAAAAGAAAAAATAAAATAAAAAGGAAAAAAATAAAATAATAAAATTAATTAATAATAAAAGAAAAATAAATAATAAAAGAAAAATAAAAGAAAACAAATATCAAATAAACAATAGGAAAATAGAAAAAAACAGGAAAAAAAGAAAACAATAAAATAAAACGAAATTAAATAAAAAATAAATAAGATAAAAGAAAAAGGAAAGAAACATTTTTAATTAAACAAAATCAAACAAAACAAAATAAACAAGCCTACTGCTGGGGGAACAAAAACAAACAAAAAAAATGTACTTATATTAACTTATATAATGCATTTCTCAGTACTGATAATGTTCAAAAGTGAGTGAAAAAGTTGGCAGAATTTATTCTTTGGACGTCAAAAAGAAAAATCAGTGTGACCAAGCAAAAAAAAAAAAAAAAAAAAAAAAACAATATCAGTAACAGATTCTCACTCAGAGTAAAGCCCTGAACGAAACACAGGCCAATATCAATAATAGATGCTTCAAATATTGCTGTGAAAGTAAGACTGGAAAAATAGATGATGTTTGCTTTGGACGTACAGTATGAGAAAATGGGTTTGTGAAACTCATAATACAAAGAAAAAAAAAAAGTTATTGCGGCCCCAAAATATGTTTGTACACTTCAGCCACACATAAAAACATTTGACTTTAACGCATTACTATATTTTTATGACAAAATGTATTTTATTAACAGCAAAAATAGCACTGATAACCTCAGTGATGAATTTTATACAAACGAATGTCCAGTTGAAAAAGCGATACAAAATAAAATAAAATATTTACAATAAAAATTAAAGGTCAGTGTTTTGTTTTTATTGATTTTTTTTGTATATACTTATTTTATTAATTAATTTTTTTATATACTTATTGTATTTATCAAACTATTATCATTTTGCCTTTGTTTGTATTGTTTGTGTATTTTTTTATTGTAAATTGTTGTGTAAATGTTTGTTGGACCAAATTTGTAAGTCACTGAGTTTGAACGTTAAAAAACAATAAAGAAAGTTATTGTTGCATACACTACCTGGTAAAAACTTTCGTCACATATCCAAGTTTTAGGAACAACAAATAATAACGACTTCTTGTCAATCGTTTGGTATCAGAAGTGGCTTATATGAAAGGCAAAGGCCTCTAGATTATGCTTATTTTCCCAAAATAAAATATGATCATGCCTTGATTTTTAATGATTTCATTAGGACAGTAAGGTCTGACTTTGCTTAGACAAACGTCTTGTCACTGAACAGAAATAATATCCAGTATAGAATATAAAGTCATGCTGCAGTGGAAACAGAATGAATATTGTGTCCGACTCCATCATGAGCTTGGAGGACTGCATCCATACATCTCTGCTGTGACTCAAATCACTTATTAATAAAGTCATCTGGAATGGCAAAGAAAGTGTTCCTGCAGGACTCCCAGAGTTCATCAAGACTCTTTGGATTCATCTTCATTGCCTACTTCATCTTACCCCAGACATGCTCAATTATGTTCATGTCTGATGACTGGGCTGGCCAATCTTGGAGCACCTTGACCTTTTTTGCTTTCAGGAATTTGATGTGGAGGCTGAAGTATGTGAAGGAGCGCTATCCTGCTGAAGAATTTGCCCTCTCCTGTGGTTTGTATTGTAATGGGCAGCACAAATGTCTTGATACCTCAGGCTGCTGATGTCGCCATCCCCTCTGCAGATCTCTCGCACGCCCCCATACTGAATGTAACCCCAAACCATGATTTTTCCTTCACCAAACTTGACTGATTTCTATAAGAATCTTGGGTCCATGTGAGTTCCAGTAGGTCTTCTGCAGTATTTGCGATGATTGGAAAAAACTACCTTCTGCCACTTTTCCAAATGATCAACTAGAAGTAAAAATATTATTTGTTGCTCTTACAACTGGGATCGACGACAAGACTTTAGTCATATAGTGTGTGTGTGTGTGTGTGTGTGTATATATATATATATATATATATATATATATATATATATATATATGTGTG